TCTCCAGGTGACTCTCCTTAGGCACACTCTACATCATCGATCACATTGCTCTGTGGCCCCATAATCTCCTTAATCAGAATATTTGGGACACAACTGAGTTACATGATGTTACAGTACAGGTTCTCCTATGACCTGAGTCTTCACTGATTTTGAAATGTTAGGGTCAAAATGTTGGCTGTCCTTGCAGCCCTTGTTTTTCTCTAATTTTTGGTCTGCAAACTTAGGTTGTTAACTCCCAGAAGAGAAGCTTATTATTACCCTACAAAATATGCAGTTGGGCTTAACCTCATTATCTGTCTGAATATCAAACATCTTAGGCATAACATGGAACAGGTATTTTCCATCAACTATTGATATGTTAAATTTTAAGTCCCTACAGAATATGGAGGAAAAGAAATTTAAAAATGAAAAATATTTAAAGAATATGAATAAACAATTATATATTTTTACACAGAAATTTAGAAATCTAACCATATACAACATTGCATTTTTTTTTTTTGGCAGAACCAGGAATTGAACTTAGGCCCTTGTGCTTGCCAGGCAAGCACTTATTCTACTGAGCCATCTCCCTGGCCCCTATACAGCATTGTATCAGGACAGTCCTGTGATATTCTTTTCCTGTGTCTTTCTTTCATTTATTACCTTTTCTTTTTTTTAAAAAAAAATTTACTTGAGAGACAGTATGATAATAATTGGTATGTCATGACAAGAAGTATGTATTTAGAAGACCAGAATGACAGCATTGCAAGCATGACCCTTCTATTATATATTGCTATGTTCAGTGCAGTTGCTTGGTTCACAGGTATCAGCATGTATAGTTAGTTAGGGTGAGAATCTTACCAATTAACTGCTAGTTTCAAAAACCTGCTGATGTTTCTCAGGATTATTGCCTTACCCATTTTGTGCATATAAATGTATGGCTTTACCCCTGTTTTGTTTCCCAGCTTTTCTATTTGCCCTCTCCTCATTGTCCAATCCTCAAGTTCTTGCTTTCCTTTTAATTGTGTTATACCTTTCTATTTGTAGTTCTTCTTTGGAGTTCTTATACTAGAGAGACTATATGATATTTACACATGTGGGTCTGGTTTATTTCACTTATGAATATATTTTCAAATGGCATCCCCTTAAATATAAATGCTTCAAGTTTATCATTCTTTATAGCTGAGTAATAAACCATTGTATAAAGATACTACATTTTTTCATCCATTCCTCAGGTGAAGGGCATCTTGGTTGTTTCCAAGATTTGGCTATCATAAATTGTGCTGCTATAAACATAGGCACACATATATCACTATGATATGACATTTTCAGTTCCTCTTGGAAAATTCCCAGTAGGGGGATAGCTGGCTTGAATGGGATTTCCAGTCCTAGTTTTCTAAGGAGTCTCCACACTGATTTCCAAAATAGTTGCACCAGTCTATATTCCTACCAGCAGTAGAGAAGGGTTCCTTTTTCCCCACAACCTCTCCAACATTTGTTGTTGGTTGATTTCTTTATGATAGCCATTCTTTGTAGGGTGAGATGGTATCTTAGTGTCATACAATATATATTCTTGGGGAGGCAAAAACAGCAATAACAAGCCCCTCAAGCAGTCTTGCATTTCTAAGAATGTTTTTCTGTGATGTTGAGGATTGAACCCAGAGCCTCACTTGTACCATACTTACCACTGAACTACACTTACATCCCAAGAAAATCTATTTGTAATGGCACTACGGAGCCCACTGGAAATTCACCTGACAAACATTTATTCAGCACCTGATAGATTTTGGGCTGGTGAACAGATCTGATTTTCATCTTAATGCAATTTAGAGTCCAGTACAGTGTTTTACTACCTTTTTATTATCCTTCTGGAGAGCTGTTTTAGAAGTTTTATTCCAAAATTCCCCCACATTAAATTTAATATCACAGATGTGCTACACAATTGTTTATGTATGTGTCCCTTTGGATCTCTATAAACCATTATAATATCTAAGACTTATTCCTCCAAAACTCAATTTTCAGCTTCTTGGAGGTTCTGTCACCTGTACTGAGATCTATTTAGTGTCTCAACACTCTGCATAAGTATTAAAGGCAGAGAACTTTCCTGTCCATAGTCAGGAAGAAGTGTCATAGTGGAAGAAGGGTCAGAGAGCTGACATTATTGGCTCTGAAGGGGGAGGAAGAGCCCTAGACTAAGGAGTGCCAGAGGTCTCTACAAGCTAGAAAGAGCTTCTAGAAACCACCACAACATTCTCCCTTATAGCTTCCAAGGAACACTGCAGATAACTGATGTCAGCCTAGTGATTTTCTGACTTGTACAAGTATAAAATAATAAATGTGGTTGTGGTAGGGAATGAATATGAGTGACTAGGTGGCTTAGTGTGAAAAGAAATCTTAAATATTCATGCCAACTTACAAAGGAAAAACTCAGGGCATTATAATGAATAAAAATTAAAAGTTCTCCAAAAGCAAGAAGACATGTGTCTAAGAGGCTCTGGGGTGGTCCCTAGGCTGAAGCCACATCAGAGCTAAGCACTGAATGTCCATTAAGTGTTAATGGGAGAACCATGGGACCTGGAGCCTTCCCTGTGGGGGAGCAACATCAACAAAGAACAAAGAGGTAAAGGAGTTTGGTGCCTTGATAGTGGGATGAACTGAAAATTTAGTGGGACTAAAAGTCTTGGATGAAGAGAGGGTCATAGGAAGTAGGCAGAAAGCAGCCCTGCTGCAAGGCCTAGGAAAGTGTGGCATGTGGTTCAGATTTTAATCCTACAAGAGATGAGAGTCTACTGAAGGCTCTAGGCAGATTATTTAAAGGAAGCAGTTGGTGGATTATGGGGGAGGAGCAAAGCAGAACAGAGTGTTCAGAGACAGGTTGTGCTGAATCTGAGAAGAAAACTAACTCCAAGAAGACCTTGGGAACATGCAGTTTGCAACCTCTATCCCTGCTTAAGAGCAACACTCCAAAGCCCAAGGACTAATCCAATGGCTGAAATTGTGTTTAGTTCTTCCAAAGCCCCGAAATGCCCCAAATGTGATGGACATTGGACACAACTTTGCTGTCATCAACATCAGCTCCGAGCCTTACTTTGGGGATGGACCGATCAAATCCAAGAAACTCCTGTACAAACCAGTTAATCATCATGAGGGCTGGAGACACATTCAAGGTAAGATTTGGCAAGAGAGGTCCCAGCTAGGGCTATGGCACGGGAAAATATTTGTCCCCAATCAAGGAAATCCTTTTCTCTCTGTCTCAATCCTCTACCCCCAGAGGTAGCTGTAGGAGAGAATTCCATTTCAGACTTTTTGGAAGAAAATACAGAAAGCCCTCTGTCTTCTGTAACTGACTTTATGAAAGCTGGATATGGGTCACAGCCTTAGCCTGCATCATGCTTTACTAGCTGTTTCCATATTTTCCCAACAGGCTTGCCTAGCTCTCCAGTCCTGTCTTCAGTCTATCTTGTCTGGGCATCCTGAAAGATATATACATATCACATTTATACTGCAATTGTGGTAACAAGAAAGCATGAGGAAGGTAGAGAATCTGCTTAAGTCCTAGGAGTGACTGTTTCTCATTTCATGTCTTATTCAATCCTGCAGACTCCTAACCTGGAGACTTTTAGAAGAATTCGAACCTGAAAATTGGGCTGTGGCAGAGAGCACTAGAGTGGGCAGAGAAGGGAGCACAGGCAAAGGAGGAACAGGTCCCTTCGCTGGCTTCCTGAAACACAATAATGCAACAAAAAGTGACAAAATGTTACAAGTTCATGAAAACAGTCACATTTATTTCTAAGCACAGACTACAGTTCTGTTTGTTACATCATGACATAAAAGTCATGATTTTAAGAAGAATGCTTTATTGACTGACCATGGTGCTTTAACTGGAATGTCTTGCAGACAGACTTGCCCCAATCAAGTTTGCATGTAACATGTCCCCTTTCTTCAATACTTTCCTCTTACTATGCCTGTGATTTCCCGCAAAGGACCCTCCACTCACTGATGACTCAGATGGCCATAAACTAGAAGAAAAGGAGGGTTTTCATCAGCTCAGTGAGGGTGCTGATCTGTGTACATTGAATAATGTCACTATATCATTTGTTACTGTGCTATTCACATTGTATTCCAGACTTAGTCAAAATTGGGCATCTTAGGGATGTACAGCTGATTCTCTGGATTGCTCTTTCTACCATCAATGGCTAGATCTTTGTTTTTTCCTTTGATCACATGAGAGTAACAGTCTATCACCTTTTTCTTCAAGTGGACATTCACAATGTAGGTTTCAAAGAACTATTAAATATGAGTCATTTTTTTCCATACAGTTAGTAATTTATCATAAAGCAAGAAAGTATTTTTGTAATATCTATGGAGTGCTTGGCTAAAGCAAATACCTAAGAAGAAAAGCATGTATCATTTGTTCATGGAAATTATTTTCAAGGACCTTCAGAACCTTTCATCCTAATGACATAGCTATTAAAAATCAGTTGTCCAGGGCTGGGGAGATGACTCAGTGGAATAAATGCTTCCCTGGCAAGTGCAAGGGCTTGAGTTCAATTCCTGGTTCTGAAAAAAAAAAAAAATCAGTTGTCTGGTCACGTTAAGCAAACCTGAGCCTTGTTGAGAGCTCAACTGTAATTAGTCTTATGTACTTGAAAACAGTAAATATAAAATTATTTTATATTATTCCAGTTCATTTTTCCTCTGTAAGTCTAGTATTGCATATAGTCAAGGATTTTTGAGGTATTATTTACAAATGGAAAAACAAAAGTTCTAGAGCAGAAATATATTGCCCAGAGGCAGATATTAATGTGTGCAATTTCACCTGGAAATATCCTTTCGAAAGGCCAATTCTCTTTATATTAGAAATAACGACACCTTGAAAATCAAATTACCTGTGTTTCACTAGATGTTGAAGGTTTAAAGATCTGAATTCAGTTCACATTGCAGTAACAGCCATCACAGTTTGGAGAATATAGCACAGTGCAAACTGAAGCATTCTGGGCTTTCTGTCTTTTCAGTGACAAATGAGATTGTTACACTCAACTATTTGGAGCCTCGGACAGAATATGAGCTCTGTGTGCAGCTGGTCCGTCTTGGAGAGGGTGGAGAAGGGCACCCTGGACCTGTGAGGCGGTTCACAACAGCGTCCATAGGTCAGTGGATGCCAGAAGGCCTTGATTCATGAGCTGGGTGGGAGGGAGAGGAAAGGGAAAGAGGAAGGAAGACCAGGAAGGGCGGGACAGGGGGCTGTGGGTGGGGTGTGGGAGGAGTTTGCTGTAGAATGGGTGGGAAAGTGACTGGAAGGCTGCAGCTTGAAGCCAGCCAGTTCTTTACTTGGGTGGACTCCTGGGCAGGGGCTGTGGCCAGGGAGTGGGGACAGAGAAGGAAGCAGATGAGCCTTCGGGCAGGCAGAGACCTCCCCTGGGACGGAGGATTTATTTAGTAGTAACTGTGCTGAACCTTGGCTCCTGTATTTCACCACTAGCTTCCTGTTTCCTGCCTAAGTGTCTAGACCAGGCTTCTGTTACACATGTGCTTCACAAGTTCATTTATTTTTAAAAATAATTTCTAATTTTTCAAAATAATTAAACACATACTTATAACATTCAAAAAAAAAAAAAAAAACCAAACAAACAAAAAGAAGAGCTTCTATCTAAAGAACAGCACTCCCTTGCTTCACCCCCTCCTCCTCCTGGTCCTCCTTCCTATAGACACTTGTTTTATCTCTGTTTTTTATTTTATTTTATTTTTTAATGTATTTGGTATGGGGTCTTGCTGTGCAGCACAGACTCATAGTGATCCTCCTGTTTTAGCCTCCCCAGAGCTGGGATGATAGGCATGTGCCACCGTGCCTGCCCAGTCTCGGGGGCTGCCTTGAGCACTCAGGGCAGGGCTGGCGCAGCATGTGGGATTAAACCTGGGTCCTTGTACTTTCCAGGCAGGTGCTCAGACTGGTAAGCTACCTCTCTGGCCTTCCATGTTGTTTCTTATAACATTTACCTCTGTGTGTTTGAATCAATGATTTCCAAATACTAGTGTGTATCAGAATCACCTGGAGAGTTTGTTTTCTTTTTTTTTTTAATTGTGGAGCCAAATGTAATCTTTTCCTTGGTTCATAATTTTTCCATATGTTGATCTACTATAAGCTGGAAGATATGGAATAATTTGATGGTAAACCAGGGGAAAATCCAGCTGTTTTTCAGGGATTGTGTACCTGACAGGAGCATCCCCTTTCCCACGATGCACCTCCATTCATCTGATCAGCATCATTCTTAAAGAACCAAATGGGACTCAAATTTGCTCTGAGGCTTTTAGATGTACTGCATATGTAAGATGTGACTTCCAGGGAGCCTCTCATGCTATGAATACAAAAAATGAAACCAACACTGTATATAAGCTAGAAGCTAAAGGCATCTCTTTGACTGCAATGAAAGGGATCCCTGATGGGTCAACAGGTTGCTACTAAAAGGCAAATAGGAGTTCATGCTCTCTCAGGTTAGTGTTGTTAAATCAAGAAAGAAGGTCATCATCTGATTCAGGGGTAAAATACTTATGAAAAAGAACAGAAAATATTCCCCACACCCACTGTGTTAGCCCTCAGAATATGTTCCAGGTGGGATATATTAAGAGACCTCTTGGAATACTTTAAAGAACTTCTTAGGGGTGAACAGAAAGAGAATTCTTGAAGGCTCTCCTTTCACTCATCATTTGAATTTTTCTGATGCTAGTTTCTTAATTCACCTGGCATTGTGCTGTTGGTATGTGCTGACTGAGGTACTGAAGGCCAGGGAGACTAGGAGAGCAGAGAATAAAACACATTCTCAACACACTGCAGAAAGACATTGGACTGAAGGTTTACCCTGTTCCTTGAGGGAAGGAAAAGAAGGAAATGACTGTGCTTATGGAAGCACAGTCCTAGGAGGTTTGTATGTCTTCTCTAAAACACTGCATTTCCATGATGCTTTGTCATCAGAAGCTCAACTCACCATCCTCAGTTTATTTCACAACTTAAACTTTAGAGACTAACAAAAAGAGTGAAAGGCCATTGTCTTACCTTGTTTGGATTATAGAGAAAGGGCTAATGAGATCTGTGCCTAAAGTCAAGCTAAGGTGTTCCTCTTGACTCATTCTCATTGGCCTAAAAACTGTCAGCACGAGGGTTTGACCTGCTCCACTTCAGAGCTAGGCCAGTTCACCCCTCCTTAGGCAACCTGTGGGCCTCTGATCCCAGAAGGTCACCATATTGATAATGAACTTAGTGTGAACACCTTATTGGCACATTACATGGTAGCCCAGAACCCCTGAATTCAAGTGATCCTCCCACCTCAGCATCCTGAGCAGCCTAGACTACAGATACATGCCAACATGTGGGCCTGAGAACAATCAGAACTGTCTGGTCAGACTCCCTGAGAGATAAAAAAAAAAAAAAAAAGCATGTTCTTCCTCTCAATTTTAAATATGATGAAATGTTTCTCAGACTCATTTAAAAAAAATCACCCCTGTCTCAGTTACTTTCTTGTTGCTTGACAAAATGCTAGATATCCACAAGAAAAAGGAGGAAACATTTATTTTAGGTCATAATTTATAGTGGTGTCAGTCTATAGTTGGCTGGCTGCAAGTAGTGGGAAATGGCAGAAGAAAACAGTTCATGGCATAGCAGTTAGAAGCACTTGACTTCCTTATTCATGCCATTTTTATTTAATCTAGTCTACAAAAGTATTGGTTGGCACTACCCACTGCATGGCAGATCTTCTCTCTTTTATAAATTCATTATCTACACCCAGATCTATGTTAAACAAATCAGTGGGCTAATCCAATATTACAAAGCCATGATCCAGTCATCTCCAAAAAGCCCCACTTACAAACACTTGAGGCTTTGTGAGGACATCTAGGTATAAATAATAACATTCTGTCTCTGGCCCCTAAAAGGCTCATGTATATCCCTTTATGTAAAATGTATTTAGCCCATCTCTGAGAGTTGCCAATCTGTTTTTAGCATTGCTGAAAAGTCCAAGTCCAAAGTTCTAAGGCAAACTCTTAGATATATGCACCAAAAATGAGAAGGAAGTTAATCATTCTAACATAGAATGACACAAGATAAACATTTGCATTCCCAAAGGTACAGCTAGCAGAATGGAAAGGGATGGGGCCCACAGTAAGAACAAAATCCAGCAAGGCAAACACTAAACCCCATATTTTTGTGTCCAGCACCTGGCACAATCTTTGGTATGATGTGAAATCCAGAGGGGTAGGGGGTCCTCACCCCTGTATGGTACTGCCTGTGGTTGTAGCCCCCATGGCCTCCTTGGGCTGGCTTTGCTCACTCCTTGTGACATTCCTCAAATGATCCCCATCCCTGGCTTCTTCAAATTCTGGGGTCAGCACTGCACTTTTGACTTCTCATTCACCATTTTACATACTACCTTCTCAAAGGGACATGGCCCAGCCTCTCAGGCCTTCTTCTGAAATATGAGTGGGGGTGTTTCTGACCACACAACTCTTACATTCTGCACGTGCCTAAAACTAGCACATGTAGATGATGCTGAGATCTACTGGACTGTTAGCCAAGCTTCCTTTTCTCTTGATTGTAGGGGCCAAGTGACTGGATGGTTGAGTATCATGAACCAATCCTAAGGGAAAACTTCTCTAGGTCACTTCTGTTCTGATGTCCTGGGCTCTCTTCTCAAAAAAACAAAAAAACAAAAAAAACCCCCAGTATTTCACCTTTGCAATTTTGAGTCTGAAAAGGTTGAAGTCCTTGTTATTGAGCCATTTTTATTGTCCTATTGCCAAATACTTTTTTTTCTTAC